GCGTACGTTTTTTTTAAATAACTATTTTAGAGCTTATAATTCTTGAAATAACTTAAATTCCGTTTTGAAAGCTCAAGTGGTACATGTTACTAGGGAATAAATACAAAAATCATAATGCATGTTGTTTATACAGGCCGCTTTTAAGTTTTAAAATGGAATAAAATCGTATTTAATTAATTTTGATTGGTACTAGAACATTACGATTACGTTAACTTATACATGTATTGTCAATGAATCATTATAGTCTGTTGCAAAATTAAATCATTAAATGAGAGTTGATCAAATTCATCAGTCCCAAATTGATACCTAGTCGATTTTGTTGGTTATAATATGTATGATGTTAGTCAATTAGCAGTGTATTTTGGCCAGGTCTTTCGGTTGTGGTCCTTGTTCACTTAACAAGCCTGTTTTGCGTTAACTCCTCGTATGCGGGCACCCTTGAAAATTGATAAAAGTGTCCGTTAGTATAGCTTTCTGCTTACGAGAACAAGAAGAGACGTGGACCATGACGAACGTGGCCATAACGTGACACTACAAATGTTACCTCGGAGAGCTTGCTTTCCCGCAGGGAGAATTGACAATTCGATCCCCACTGTTCTGTTGCTCTGTCAAAGGTCATATTTTTGTTGATTTATTGCAAATCAAAGACAAATTTCATTGCTAAGAGTCAATTATTATACATGGGGTGTCCACTTACGAGAGGGCGTAAACAAAAGAAAAATCCAATTTTCATTTTCAAAAGTGTCCACTTACGAGAGAGTGTCTGCTTCTGGGAATGTATAAACACAGTGTTTGACTGGGAGGTAATACGGGGAATTGAAAAAAAGTGTCTGTAAGTAGAGCTTTCCGCTTACGGGAGTGCCGTTAGCTGATAGTTGAATGAATACAGTAAGTACGTCACATGACTTAATGACATCCATTTTAGACAGTCAGCTTGAGAATTTCAGGAATATTTTGCCCAATTTTACCTTGGTGGGAAATGAACATTGATAATATCTTGTTTACTTTAAGCTATGGCAAACGTAAACAATTTGATTTGTGGCTATCTGGTAAATGGAAAGAAAAGTATTTCCGCCAATATTTAAGAATCATTTTGAGACAGTTTTCAGCTTCTCTCCCAGAAAGGATGATTAGGAAAAGATTGGCTGAAAATAATACCCTGACATGAAGAAACCCTTGTTACATCTTGATCCAAAAAAGCTCAAATTTAATAGAATATAAGTTTTACCACATATAACTATGTCGATGAGGAGGGGGGGGGAGGATATGACGAAGTCTTAGTTAAGGAGGTTCATGGGTTGGAAAATATAACTCTCTCGCAAAAATTAGTTCTACCCAGTCTCTATGATGTTAATTTTAGTGTCTATTTCCTATATCGGGGATATTGACTTATATACCACCTCTGAAGAAATGTTCACTGTGATCGAACTGCATGGAATACAAAATAAATGTAGAGTGCACTAGAACAAAATTGAAAGGTAAGAAAATATGAATTTTTTCGCGTGAAATATTTTATAATACAAATTAAATCACGGGTGTTGAAACCCCTGGAGGGGACTCCCATTGGAAAAGATCGGGGATGCTCGTCGAAAAATTTGGATTTAACCCCTAAGGGAGACCAATCTGGGTGCGGCTGGAGCTTCATTTGACTCCTAAAAGATACCACTTAAGACGGAAAAGCCTCGATTACCAGCCGTTGTTGAGGAAGAGAGCTGCGCTAGTAGACCAGGCTCAAGTGACTGGCGGAAATCGAGCCTTCAAACGGAAATGAGAGCGATTTTAATTGTTATCTCTTCGAGTGGACCTTTAACTGCTAAAAATAGTGGCGTTTCGTCCTGAACACTCTGCATTAGAACAAAATCCTTGATTTACCCCTAAACGAGGCGACGAACATCCTCAACCTTTTCATATGGGAGACCCCCCGCCCCCTCCCCTCCGGTGTCGAACTTCCGATACGGGCGTCCAGAATGTCAAGGTGTATATACAAAATAATACAATACATGTAGAAACAAAGACTTTTCGAGCGAATGAACGAATGGCGGTTCATTAGTACATCTTATTCCCGAATTATTATGTGTTTAAGTTTTATTAAAAATGCAATAGCATAGGAGGAAAGAACAAGGCTTACCTTTTCTCCCAGGTGACATACCGTAGCGTTTATTCAGGCGTATTGCTGGTTTTCGTCACAATTAAAAACTAACCATTGAATAAACAAAGTCAAGAAACCTGGAATGGTTTGCAACAATGGCCTCTTGTACCACGAAAGTGGAGAAGTGGAAAGCCGATCGAAAGAAATCAATAACCTGCCGATCTGGTACCAAAAAAAAAAAATCGAAACTAAAATAAAGGAGAACTTAAAGACGCCTATACTCTGAAGCGGTTACCAACAGCGTTTTGACAAAACGCTAATGTTCCAATGAACCGAAGTACGAAATATCTGCTCGTCATTTCAAATCGGCCTAGCCTTGCGTCCTCGTCAAATCACTTTACCGCTTATTCCCTGAATTACACCCCACTCGGTCAAAATTACTATTACTAATTTTAGTCGGCCTCGTGCGATTATCCATACTAAAGACATTGGCTTTGGAAAATTTCAAGAGGCAATCGAAAATATTTGTGAACTTTTCGATAATTGTCGAACATCTTTGTAAGTCTTCGTGTTATAATAATAATAATAATAATAATAATAATAATAATATTTAGTGAGGGAATCCAACTCGCCAATGGTGGTTTTCAGTGGAGCCCTCCTAAATAAAAATCACCTAAAAATGACATAAATAAGAGTTACCTAATAAATTACTACAAGCTAAAATAAATAAGAGTAAAAAGAGTTCGTATTAGTTAAAAAGTTAAAATTCTAAAGATTAAAATTAGCTAAAATCATTCAAAGAAGTTTTCAGTTTTGCTTTAAAAATAGATAAAACACGTGTGTCTTTTAATTCACGCGGGAGGCTGTTCCAGTCCTTCGCTGCTTGATAAATGAACATTTGCTTGCCCCAGTTAGTGCGAGGGAGGGGCAAACGAAGATCGTTCAATTGTCTCGTATTGTGCGAGTGAACAGCTTGATTTCTAATGAAACTGAAGTCAAAATCTGTTGATCCAATTAAGCACTTATGAATTGCGGTGCAACGATGAAAAAATCGCCTTAAAGCAAGTGGCTTGAAATCAAGGCTTTTCAAGGCATGAGTTGACGAGCTTCGGATTGGAAGGCCCAACAGTACTTTAGCAGCATTATTTTGAAGTACCTGCAGTTCTGATATGTTAGGAAAATTTCAGACAATCAATTATCCTTCGAAAGCTTTTGGCCTTCCTTGGAAATTATTGGAAGCATTTCCATGTGTAAACTTTGCAATAATATTTGGACTATCTTATAACTCATTAGACCACGAATTAAAACATTTTGCGCGCTATGTTAATATGGGAAATTGTTTCCCAGCAGTTGTAAGCCAGTTTATTTAACTTAATTACAGTCAGTCTTTGCCACACCAGCTATAGACATGCGATAAATATGTCTCGGCTGGAACTTAGAAATGTGAAATATTTTCACTGGTAACCCACCGCTAATTTCACATGTATTATGTTAGATAAATACAGAATTACGTTCTCATTGATCGGGAATAAAGGTTTAAGAGTTTCACAACTCAGTTACTAGATCCCCTACACTGGCAATATTTTCATGCTTTTCGTATGAGTGTTCTTCTTTTCAGCTTTCGCGTTTTCCTTATCCATTGCTGTTTGTGTTTCTAAACGATGTCAGCGAAGTACTTTCCCTTAACAGGTTTACATGTGACCATTGGCGGTCGTAAGCAGTCACTAGACCTTCGATCTTTTTCTGTTAACTTTTCAATACGCACCACATCCCTGTTAAAGTAGTTTAGTCAAGAGAATGCAAGTTGGTCATACGCAGCACAGCTGTTATGTTTTTTCACTAATTATATTATGTTTTATTCATTATTCCATTATCGTAGTGTATTGTATTCATGTGCCTTTAGGATGTTACCTGTAATAAGTGTTTTATCAGTTATCTTATATATCTTGATCCGCAGTTTTAAACGCAGCCAGAACTTCGCCAATAACTAAATGTATAACGCAGCAAATGTTAACGATAAAAAATACTCCTAACTTTAGAATTTCGCTTTGATCGAGCAATTGCTGGCGAACAAAAAGAAACCATCCTGACGTTAGTTTATTGATTGAAAATGTTGCAATACAACCTTGCTTTACAATTCATCACGGGTAGTGTTCCTAGCGGTTTCCAGATCTGATAAAGACAACCGTTCCTCCAGAGTTTTCCTGAGAATAACTTGTTTGAATGCATTGTAGAAGTCTCTCTTAAAGAAAGTGTACAAAACAGGATTCAAAACCGAAGTCATATACCGAACAACAACGAAAACATGGGAGACAGTTATGTATATTCCACTATCAGTCTGATCGTCTAATGAGAAGATTAAGGCCAAGGTAAACCATGGACACCAACAAACCAGATACAATATTCCCATGGTAACAAATATCACGAGACATCTTTTCTCACTATCAGAGCAGCCTGCTTTTATGGGCTCATTTCCAATCTGTATCACTTGCATTTCTTGCCTTGTTTTCTTTATAGCAACAAACATGACAGCATGTGCATAAATTATGAACATGTATGGCAAGAAAAAGACGGCTGCTAGGCAGAAGACGGCGTGGGACGTTTGAAGAATGGACGCCTTGGGATTATTTGCATAGAATTCTGACTTCCAGAAGAAGGGCACAATAGCGATGATGGCCGATGCTCCCCAAACCATGGCCAGAACTCGCATGATTGCATTCTTGGAAACTGGACGTCTATTTTCCCATGCGAACACTAGATACCTCTCAAGAGTAATAACAAGAATATGATAACCAGTGGCAACAGCTGTAAAATTGTGTAATACGGTCACCAAGTAAAACACGTCGGGTAGCTTCGCGTACGGCACTGCCTGGGTGAACGCCGTAATGGCCAGCGGAATATTCACGCATCCAGTAAAGAAGTCGCATAACGCTAGGCTGAGTAGAAGGTAGTTTGCAGGAGTCCTGAGGAAGTTCTTCTTTGAGAAGAGGACAAACACAAAACTGTTCGTCAAGATGATTGCTACAGAAAATGGAACAAGTTCTGGAACAGCTTCCTTGAAAGGCTTGTACTTTAGATCTACAGTAGAGTTCGACTCATTGGAAGTCGAACGTGTTCCAAGCGAGTCATCAATTGCCGCGTTTGACATGTTGAATTCTCTGCTAAGCAGACAAATGTTCAGCAGCTGCCAAATTAAATTTGCTACCGTTTTACCATGCAACCACGCAACCTTGTTTTACTCTGAAAGTAACGAAAAAGTAGAAAAAAAAATCATCTTTCCCAAATTGAGAGCGTGAACATGATGAAACCTGGCCTCTTGGCGACAAACAGAAAATTTAAATCTTTCAAAGAAATTGATTTATTGAAAACTACATAAGGGCCGCATCTTTCAGCTTAGTAAAGTGATATTGTTATCAATTTGTCGTGTCTTTTGCCGTAGTCATCTTCAAAACTTGCCTGGCTACTTCTAAGTGTGTGATATGTGGGCAGAACAGTTCGCCATTGACTGTTCATGTCATAATATTACTGAGATAGAAGTGCATGGAAGATTAAAATGAAATGAAAAAACTGACAAGACGCCATCGAAAAGAGAAACTAACAACACGACGTATAAACAAAAGAATTGAAATGAGAGTTTGTTGCGTGTCTTAAACCGAGGATACATTAATTTTTGGCACGAAAGGAAGAAAATACTATTAACTAGACAAGTATAACCGAAAGTGACTTTTTAAACCTCTCAGTAACTAGACGAAACCAAAAGATGTTTTTATATTTTGGCTATGAATATTTTGGATTTACATCAGTTACTTGGGCAAGAATGGCTAACGAATTTTGACTTACCAAGGATTTATCAAGGAGTTCTCTTTAGCTGAGATCCACCATCTCAAGCGGAGCAAAAACTAAAACAAAAACTTCCTGTTATTAGTTTCTAAAAAAATGAACAGAACAGAATATCATGATTAAAATGCTACGGCAGATTGTCAGTAGTAGGATTTGCTATTAATGCAAGTGGTACGTGTATTTAAATAAATGTTACTGAGTTTGCATAAGCTAATTACTTTCGACCAATGACATTTGAGAAAAAAATGCAATTTATATAGTCAGGTGGAACTTAATTTCAATTTGATATTTGGTGGGCGCTTTTTTGGCTTTCTACGCGATCTTTCGCAGAAAATGATATTTAATCGCTCTCAACTGTTCATGGTACGTGTGTAAGTTTTACCGTGTATGAAGCAGAAGGCCTGGTAATTGCTTGAAATAAAATATTTGTCGGGTTTCTTTTACGCGAAAAACTGAAAAAAATATATCTTAGTTTCAAAATAATGAATTGATTTGAAATGGAAGGTTTTAGAAAATAAATAAATCGATCCTTCTTTTTATTCTATTTATTTATAGAATCAGAGTAGAATTTTCAAGCTGGGAATATATAGGTTTTTAACAGTTCCTGCTTTTTTCTTTCATGTTCAATTATTACCAGTTAGCAAGAAGACGTTAGTAACTAAATGTTTTTTTTTTTTTGGCTTGCTAAAATTAAAAGGAATCTATATATGTATGTTACACCGATTTCAATTAGTCAACTATAGCTATAATGCGAATTTACATCCTCAAGCTTGTTTTCTTTATTCTCCGATGAAATGACCAAAAAAACAATATCCTCTATGTCTAAATTAATTTTTGACAGATCGATTTTAAGACTGCAATTAGCAAAAAAAAATCCTTTTCTTTACCTCGACTGATCATTTCCCTCTACCCGAGTTTACTTTTAGTCTCAACATGATACTTTTTCACCAGCAATATTTACGATCAAAAAATCCCTACGTCGGGTCTCGATCTGAAAAAAACGGCTTTTCAGACTCTGAATAATACATTGGGGGTGTTATTTTACTTGTGCTCCGCATAGCAGTAAAAACATGAGGCGATTTACATATTTGATAAGAAGGAAGAATTACTAAAATAATGCCTAAAAGCGACGAAAAATGAGATATACGAGTCATGTACCTTCGAAAGCCAACCGCAAACTGTAAAATAAACTTTTGAATGCTATACGAAGTGAGCCGATTTAAATCATTTCTATTGTGCCCTACACATAAACATGTTTATTCTATATTTATATTTAATCAGACTTCCTGCAAACTATTGCCATTAAACTGAAAGCTCATGATCAATATCATTACCTTTTAGTCATGCAGCGAACATGACCCCCGGGGGTAATTTGCCGGATCCAGTGAACATAAGTTGTATCAAGTCGATTTTAAACAGTTTTGTTCAAAAACATCACAGAAAACCGCACGGTTACTGTTGGCTAGCAAGCAATGATTGCAACGCCATCCAGAAACGAGCAACATGAGGCACCCAACCCCTCCCCCCTTCCCATTGGTTCTGCAAAACTCGCTATCGGTTGCTATCGACCTTGATAAACTTGACTCACGACTCCCGCAATCACCAGCTATCTAGATCTGTGGATAGAGACCTTCTGTTTGAATAGTAATTGTAAAAAAGAGCGAACACTCCGAACAGATTCATATTTTGAAAGGCACGCTACTTAGTAACAGCTACTATCGTGATTTTACTTCACTGAAATAGCACTCAACCACATTCAAAACCTAACTGGAATTTTTAGCCTCATCATGAGAACAATAGAAACTGTGCATGTAAGGAGCAAGTCTTTCTTATACATCGACGAATATGGGTCAACAATGTACACTTAATGTATCAAAAATTATTTCAGTTCTCAAAGTGCAAAATAACAATGCGATAGCATTCAGAGTTGTGCTGTCTATCAGAAAATACATTAACAGGTAATCAAGAAGTAAATCGAAAAAAAAAGTTGTAGAAATAGGCTTGAGTGGTTTGCCTGGTTTTTATTAACGCATAAACATAGCATAAGCAACATGCGTAAACGCAGTAGGATACCCAGGAGTATCAGTAGTTCGTATAGTGTGATCGTCCGGGTGAGTGGAGTTCTGAAAAGAACTGTTGTTGGTGACTGACGTTTCGACAACCTGAGCGGAAGTCATCTCCAGAGTTAAGTGAATAGTGTTGTCAGTCGATGATCTTATAAGTCTGGTCCGTTGAACGTGATTGGTCAGTATAGCCATGATGGTATTGGCTGAAAGACTCGTGTAAAGTTTGTCATCAGTCATTGGTGGGTTTTGATCCGTCTTTTTTTAGTCTTTCAACGACTGATCATGACTCTGGAAAGATGGTACAATAACCTAGAACAAACGCCTCTTAACAGATGTTAACAACTACCGGCGCCTTACAAACGACACTTATCCATGACGGAAACGAAACCGACAAACGGACTTCTAACAGACCGACTTAACAATAAACGGACCAAAAACCGACCTACTTGACTAAAAAAAGACGGATCAAAACTCACCAATGACTGATGACAAACTTTACACTAGTCTTTCAGCCAATACCATCATGGCTATACTGACCAATCACGTTCAACGGACCACACTTATAACATCATCGACTGACAAAC